CACACACACACACACACACACACACACACACACACACACACACACACACACACACACACACACACACACACACACACACACACACACACACACACACACGGTAGGCCACAGCAAGCCTTCCAACAAAGATACTGAGGATAGTACTGTTATATTTCATACAGAAATATTAGCGTGATCAAGTGTGAACACAGCAGCTAGTGGAATTTATTAATCTACTAATGATCAGGTTCATTACTGGTTACATTTAACTGATTATTCTCACGTGGGGTTTGGATAGTTTGAATATTCTAAGATAGTAGTAATCAGAAATGCCAATTTTGTTTAGTTGATTATTTTTCTAAGTGGCAACACTAACTGAATAAGCAAACAACCTTGAATTAACCAAAAATAACAATTAGATATCATAATAATATTTCAGTTACTTGGATAGTTGCAATAATTAAAAACTGTAATACACTAGACTCTCCCTGAGCAGCTATCTCCCCAAGGAGACAGCTCCCCCATTGCAGGCAAAATATTAGTCATGACAGTTTGCCTATCATTACCATTATAAAATATTTCCCCAGGCCAACCACTCCCCTATTCCATACTACAACTACTGAAATCAGTCCCGAGGCTATTGTTGACTTTCCATGTTGTGACCACCCGCTGTCTGTTGTTTTTTGTTTTTTTATGATAAACATTAACAGGTGTGGTCGTTGTTGATTGTAATCATGTTCAATATTTGACAACACTCGGTATGTTAAATTTTATTGTCTTTTGGACCATGATTTTTGAAATTCCTGCCATAGAAAGTTTCAAAATACACAGTAACATCAAGCAAATGTTACACTAATCAAATTACATGTAGAAGATATTGTTCAAAGTGAAATCATTCATGCTATGTGAAAAAAAATCCAGAATCACCGACTTTCTTGTGTAATAAAATATACATGCACACATGTTCCGTGACTAAAATTTATAAAATACTTTGAATGATGAAAGTAAAGAGAATAAAATAGAAAATATTCAAGAAATGAATAGTTATTGATAGTTTGGATGTACAATATGCAAAGAAATATCACACATAACATTACAGTTCAATATTCAAATATTTTACAGTTAATTGATGAACTGGTCGATCCCTATTAAGACCACTTTTGTTCAAACCCAAAGGTGGTCTTAATAGGGAGAGTCTACTGTAATATGAAACTCTAATTTCAATTAATTGATTATTTAATCATAGATAATCAGTTATATACGGTATTGCCCACCACTAATTAACATTTTAAATATTTGTAATGCAAAGCTTATTCACTGCTCATACAAATAAAGTTTAATCATGAAGAAATGTTTTTAACATTGCTTTATTTTTTTCATTTAGTGGGGAGGTTGCATTGTTGCAACATACATATTTTGTTGTCATTCTTGTTAGCAGAGCTTTTTTGAGGACTTTTTAATATGTAGATTTTTTTATGAGTTTCTTAAAGAACATATAAAAAATGAAGTAATTCAAGAATTTTATAATTGTAGAAATAACATTTTTGATGGATGTTTCATAAAGATGTATAAACATGCGAAAACTGCAACTTTATTAACCTGTGTCGGGTCAGTGGACATTCCTGGACTTTATTATCTATCCCAGAAATTGTCATGTTTTTATTATCTCTAGCAGAATATTTTTTAAGGAAATATGTTTTACATACCCTTTAACCATTTTCATACAGCATTGGTCCATGGAACGTGTCACAACTTTTTACAGTTGTATTCAAAATTTCATTAAACAATCTTATTATCAACGTATGTCGGTAAACTTGGCAACAGAATGTAGCTTACAATTAAAGCTTAAGGAATATAAAAGTTTTAAATTTTTTAATTCATGGAGGAAGTATTTTTAAATTCTCAATATTCAGTTGCATGCTCTCACAATTCTCTCCACTTTAGTTTGTATAACTTCAACAGTATAACATCTACAGTGTCTAGCTAATATATATATAGACAAGCTATAAATAATGACAAGTCAAATGTACAATTTCATCATCCTACCATTTCTATTTGCTGAGATATCAATATATTTTTTCAACCCACAACAGAAGTCCTGCTCTCACCTACCCTTAACCTTCAAGTCAGTTTTCAAAACCACATGTTTTTATATGATGTAAGTGTTATAACCAACAGAAAGAGCGTTTTTTCTGTTTGAAGATTGCAACCATCCTTGTTGCAGTAACAGAATTTATAGTAAAGTTAGAAAGCCAGTTTAATAGTGGTAGTTTTGGGACATTTTGTTCTATTCCTAGTAACTGATATATTTTATGTTCTAAAATTCGTATTTGCAAGGTACATGAATTTTTGTTTGGACAACAACTTGCAAAAAAAAATTAGGCCTATTTAACTATGCATTGAAATGCACACATTTCAATCAGCACAATATGTTGTTTTACAAGAACTTGCTAATGTGTTTTCTTGCTGTGATATTTATTGTTTACATGGTACAAGCCAGGTGATAAAATCATAAAATCAAAATAAAAGGCTAATAGTTTAAATTGTGAATATCATTAATTGATGGTATGACAACAAATGATGCATTCAAAGAAAAATAAAAAAGGTATTTTTAATTTTATTTCATAATTTTCAATTTTACTCTTCAAATGTATATTGATGATGTTAACTACAATTAGTGTAGGGATAGAGAAAATAATGGATAGGATATAAAGTTTTACTGGAAAAAAAAATTATTCATACAAGATGTACTAGAAGTTATGCAAATTAAATATAAGTGTTTTTATTCTTAGAACAAAATCATCTTGAACTCAGAGTAGAGTCAGATTGACTCAGTAAAGGTTTCAGAAATTCACAGGCAAATGTTTACTAAAAGCTTGTCAAATTTCATGAAGATACTCTTAATAAATTCAGAGTTCAATATTTTTGGGTTCATGCAATTAGGCTGAACCAAGCATATATATATAGTTGTATATTTATAATAGTTTTCTTCATTACCCATTCAAACTGTCTTCAAACTTTTATTTTCTGAAAAGTGGGTTCCTCACCATCAGTGTTAAAATCAGACATATATAGTTGTATTTTTGTCTTGATTAACCATTTCTTTCATCTTGTTTTTGCTGTTGAATGAATTTGGTTTACCTTGGCAGCTCTTCTTATGAAATTACAAAGATGTTCCAACATGGGAACATTAGACTAACAGAAACATTCTTTTGTATTATAAAACTTCAAACATTGAGCTCCTCAGCTATAATGAAGACATATTTAACATTTTTCACACATTGATCTCTTGTTTTTCTGACATACTACACATCTGCTTGAGTTTAAGATGTTGATTCATGGCCTTGTACATTGAATTGCACATCTGTAGATGAATTTGTTTAACCACCAGTAGTTTGTTTTCTGTTGTAGAAGGCTTCATTAGAACTGAAACAATATTTCTTCAAAATTTAAATGGTTGACTCTCTCTTTTTCTTTTAGAATGCAAGATACAATAACATCTCCATGCTGCAATTACAGACAAATTTAGCAAATTCACCACCAGTGGCCACCACAATTTTTTTTTTGCTTGGATTATTTGGTTGCATGTAGCTAGAGTGTGATCTATCAAATCTAAACCTGTCATTCCCTTTTATAAAGATGAATCAAATTACACTTTTATTTCTGGCCTCTAGCTCATCTTTGCTGTGTCAAATTGTAGTGGCTTATCAAATGTAAAATAGGTTGCTTGATATCATACTTTGGTATCCATTAATGTATATTTTTTCATGCAATATCATTTTTTATGTTTACAGTAGTATTCAAATTGTGTAATATGACTACAAGATGGTTAAGTCTTCTGAATCTGCCACCATCAAGTCACTAATAGTTATATGTTTTTGCTTTGGGAGAATAAAACTTAAAATAGTTTTGAATCATTACTCCAAACTGATTTTTTATGTGACATTTTATAATAATATTTTTAAAAACATCTGTGTTAAGCCTATGAGGAATTGAACACAGCTTGCTATGACTAGGCCATTAACTATGTGAAAAGTAACTGTATGCTAGCATGTAGCATATGAATTGTCCATGTCATAGAACTTGAATGAATCATCATCATCACCATGAAATAATCATGAGAAGTTGTATGTTTTAGTTTTAGGAAGTTATGACTCGTTTGCCAGTATTAAATTAAACGTGCTATTTTACTTTTGAAATGCCCCATTGAAGTAATTAGATGTTCTAAATTTTTCATACCATACACTTAAGTATATTTGAAGCTCAGTATGTTAATGATGCTGTATATGTACTTTATCTCATTATGCTTCTGAAAATTTAGTCTCGAAGGCTATTGTTTATTTATTATTTTATTTTATTTTGGGAAGCTAACACAGTTTTGTTTCATTTCAGGTCTGTTTCTTTACCAAATGGTATCGTTAATCACTCATATAATATCTCTGTGACAAACAATCATCAGTGCTCACATGCTGCTCCAACAGGACCATCATTTTCACTCCCTAATAGTGACAGTTCTCCTTCTCCCTCATGCTCTGTGGATTCCAGTCCATCACCTAGTCCTCCTTCTCTGGAGGGCTGCATACTTCGAAGTCCCACCAGCTCAAGCTCTGAAGAAAGTCTTCCTGGTAAAGGTTAGTAGAAGTTATTTGTCAGGTGAACAGAAAAATACTGAAATCACTTTAGTAAAGTAGCTCAATTGACCACATCTGTTATAAATGTATGCTCGTGACAAATTGTGTGTTAAACCTGTGGTACATGAGGGTGTGTGAGATCTGTTGAAAGACATCAGAAAGAAAATAAACCTAACAATGAAATTGGAGGGAAACCTTCGTGAATTACCAATGCATTCCACTAGATAGCACTCAGTGTTCACTTACATTAAAATAGTTTTTTTGCTTTGTTGATATAGGTGACTGTTCTTTTGTATATAACAAATGTGCTCCAGAGATACATTGCAGGCTCAGAGGTGTGACTAAGGGTATGTGGAATAAAAGGGTGGGCTAACTAATTTATTAACTTGTTTGTACATGCATGTACTCACTTATCAAAATATTAGAAACACCTAATGTAAGTATTTACATGTTAGAAATAAAAAACCCAGGGTTCTATACAGATAGTAAATTAAAGATTTATTAACAGAGTGTGCATGGAGTTGGTCCTATTAAAGAGGGAATATTAACTATAATTCCAAATTTACTAAGTATATCTACATGAAATGTGGAAAGCTTTTAGTAAAATGTACAAATCTGTTGTACACACAAAATCAAATGTATTACAAAAGTATTTGTAATTGAGATGTCTGAATTGACAACATCAAACTGACTCGTACTCAGAGTGCAAGGTATTATGTGAAGAATAAAAATACTTTTGTTCATCGTACAGTTTGCATATTGTATTCGTATAACCTATAGAACCTCTGAAATGCATAATAAACATACAAGAAGTTGAACACAAATAACTGTCAGTTATTGCAATTAATTCCAATTAATTTGATCGTTTAATGTATTGTATCTAACAATAGTAGTACCAGTTATACAAATCATATCTGTAGATTTTATACAATCATGTAAGTTTTCACGTATTACGATAATTACACACAGTCAACATTGCATGATATGAAGTGTTTTCTTCCAATGTTATTTTGTTAAGTAACTTTTCATATTTGTGATTAAGAGATGAATAAACAAGAGATTCGTGAAATGTCATTAATCCTATCTGAACCACAGATCACCTGCATATGACAGTTCACAAGTTAAGTAGAATAATAATTCTAAATATTTTGTGGATGAGCAAGGGAATCTAATGGTAATTTAGATGTAAGAACAAGCCTTGGATCTGGGAATTACTTTATAGTTTACTTAAGTTTCTGAAAATGTTTTCATGTTAAATCTAAACTGCTTGAAATCTAAATTGAAATCTAAATATTTCACGGATGAGCAAGGGAATCTAATGGTAATTTAGATGTAAGAACAAGCCTTAGATCTGGGAATTACTTTATAGTTTACTTAAGTTTCTGAAAATGTTTTCATGTTAAATCTAAACTGCTTGAAATCTAAAGATATTTTTCTTCTACTACAAAACATCAGATATTTAGTTAGGTTTAGCAAGTGCAGTAAGATATAGCAAAATATATGAATGACTCAAATCCTTATTTATGAAATATTATTGTATACTTTATCATATGTAAACAACACACGTAAATAAAATGAATTATTATTTATTGAGAAAATAATATTTATTAGATATAAATTAATTTCGATCCAAAATTTTATTCGCTTGATATAGGTAATGATTACATTTTGAATGGTGAGGTTTTAGGTTGTCAATAAATCTGTCAGTTTTTGCCATGGTTATGATTCATAGCCAAAAGTGGTGACTACTGCAGTTAGGAAATTAAAGTATTAAATGATAAGATCAATCTAGTTTAAACTCGCTGCATATATAAAATAGAACTTCCTGATCAAAAATACAATTCAATTGAAATTTTAAGAGGAAATATTTTTAATGTTTTTTAAATCATTGTCTCACAACAAAAATTATAAATTTCACAACCTAAAAATGATATAAAAACTAAATAAAATTTAAAATAAATTAAAGCCAACACTAGATACTATTAGTGATCATGTATGCAATTTGGTTAAGTATTTCTACTGCAAGAATAAGAAAAACTGAGAATACTATTGCACCCCAGTCATTTAGAAAGGATTAAAAAGGTAACATTGCTTAGATGTTTGCCCTTCTGCTTCCCTGAAAAGAGTTGATATTGCTTTAAATTTAATATTAATGAAAAAACAGTAACATATGGTGAGATTTAAAAAGGCTATATTGTTTTGTTTCATAACAGGAAATTCTTTTTTTGCATTTAAAAATGAGCAATTATAAACTTTGTTGTGTGGTTCAGAGAGTAAGAAAACCAGGTGAATATAAAGTTTTCTTTTAAAACTTCTTGTTAAGCATGCAAGTGTTTTACAAAAATTAATCATATCCAATTTTGTAAAGATGAATGTTTAGCCTTTATTGGTAGAAATAGACACTTGAATAAGTAGCTTATGTCTGTGGCTATATTTTTTTAGGTCGGCCAATTCAAAAATCGGACAATGCAAGAAATGTAGGCCATACTTCTAAAGTAAGTTATGATCCCAACAACAGAGTTCAGCAAGGTGGATTTTATTCCAAGCACAATAAGAAGCTTGCAGAAAAAGAGGATAGTTATGTAAATGGACGAGAAGGAGGGGATAGTCTCAAAAATATTACAAACTATGGAATGACTGTCCCTTTCCTTTTTCCACCTCCTGATATACATCCTCCGAAGCCCAACTCTTTACCACTGTATACCCGAGCTGCAGCTACTCCACCACATCTTGGGGCAGGAACAATCATTATAGAGAACAGTCAGCTCAACAGAAATCCTTTGGCATTTCTCCCTTCAAATCCTCCTCATCGATCTCACAGTGGTACTCCTGAACGAAGTGTGAATCCTCCAGTTTCATTCTCTGGTGGTATAACTTTCTACCAGTTCCCCCTGATAACTTCTGGAGGTGCATCTCTTACTACAGCAACACGTAGTTTTGTCACTTATCTTGGCCATTCTACAGTTACTGTGACAACAGTAGGGAGTGGAAAGTTTGTATCCAAAACTGTGGACACAGTTAATACCAAACAAGTGCCTGATCCTATGCCCAATGTCTATCATTACCCCCCTTGTGTGGTGCCAGCTCCAGGTGCAGCCGTCCAGTCAAACGGAGTAGTAATCTCAACAAACAATGCTGGTACCTCTACTGTGGCAAGTAGCACGGCTACAACTAGTCATAGCAATGCCTCGACATCCATCCATACTCCACCTCCTTCCAGTCTCCCATATAGTTATTTCCTTCCTCACTTCCTTCCCCAAGCTTTTCCATTTGTAGCAGCCCATAATAATACTCCTGCTAATGGATTTGTTTCACCAAATTTACATGTTCCACCCCCTACCCCCAGTTTTCCTTTTCACCTTCCAAATGGTTTAAATGCTGGAGTGTCACCAGATATGGTGTACCCTCCTCAGGGCTTCCCTTTACCATCCCCATCAGGGCCACCACCCCCAACACCACCTGTTACTCCTTACCTTGGATACCTTGGGAATGGCTCTAGCTATCCTCACAACCACTCTGTACCTCTACAGGCACCCACTAAACCAGTGACTTGTTATAACTGTGGTGCTGTTGGCCACAGAGGAAATGAATGTAAAAGTGCCACCTTAGATGAAATGACAAAATCAGGTATGTACAAAAAAGGAATGTGAAAGCAAATCATGGTATTTTTTACTTTGTTACTCGCATTTTTATAAATTTAAATGCTGAAGTTTTTTGTTTTCTTTTACATGTGTTCTTTTCACCAATCTTTTTAAAAAACCTAGAACTTCAAGTTAAAGTTCTTTATAAAAAAAATTATGTCACATGTTTTCTACAACATATATAAAAGACCAGAGTAATAGGGCAGAAGGCGTATCATGTTTAACCAAAATACGAATTTTCAAAAGTAAGAAACAGCAATGGTAACTTTAAAATTGTTAATGTGCATTTTTACATACCCCTGGAGCTGGTGTTATTTCTAAAGTCTGTTAATTATAGATATATTAATCACAGGAGTAAACATAAATCAGTCAGATTACATATACATAAGTCCAGTTAGAAAACTTTCCATCAGTAATTACTTTTTAATGCATTATAAAGCCAAGAAGGCCTCAAATGATTTATTGCGAAAACCAGATTTTCCAAAAGAAAATAATTTATATGCTAAATGATATGAAATCTGTCTTTATTTGATTCAAAAAGAAAAGTAAAAGTTGTTTCTTTGTCATATTGTTAGCACTCATAGATAATTGTACATGCTTTTTTGTAATTACGGGATATATATAAAAACATTACTAATGTAATTGTTTTACTTGCAGGTCATTTCAGACTTCATTTTGTACCATCTCCAAAAACATCAGAATCTAATACATAGTAATGAATCAAGGTTAGAAGAAATGTATTTTTTAAACTTTTCCAGTACTTGTTCAGTGATCAAGAACAAAGTTGTTTGAATACATTTTACTGTGAGGCAGAACATAACAAAATATTGTTGGTTTTTTTTTACTCAGAACATAGCAATTCTATGCTTGTGGGTTTTATGTTTTTAGCATGAAACCAGGCACTTCAGAAGTTTCAATGGTATATCTATCTAATACAATAGATTGGGAAATATTAAAATGGTGCTTTTAGTTTTCTATCTAAAATTTTAAGCTTGTTTTTGACAATTTTCTTTTGTTTACTGGAATGGAAACCACTGATGATGAAGGTGGTGACGACATAGGATAAGATACCTTAACCCAATCTTAATTCAATACATATCTTTTAAGTGTTTTTTGGTCACTGTCATTGTGGCATAAAAGATAATTTCTATCTCACCTAAATAATTGAAGTAAAGTAGTATTTACAAAAGTTTGTGCTAGTGCCTCATTTGGGGTGTACTTTGGTATTAATTGTATATAACTATGTAGAACTTACTTTTAAGGCAGCTGTTATTTTTCTCAATACACGCACTTGTTATAAATAGGAAAGATAAAATATATATTTTAAGTCAGCTATTAAGAACATGGAAACAATTGCAACTATGCAATCTTTGAGGTTTTTTTTTTTATCTAAGGATTTTTTTTTTCTTAAGAATTTATAGTATTGTTGGCAAAGATTTTGAACTCGTAGTTGTTGAAGGAACCATAAGAATTGATTTGAAACCTGAGCAATTTGCTGACTTTTAAAATAGAGATGCACATTTTATAATTGGAATTGTGGATTATTGAATGAAATGACTTGAGGTTTTAAATAGTTGCATCTGTCCACTTTTAGTGCCTGGAGAAGTTGTTGATTTCTTTTTTAACTAGATGCTCTGGTTTGTCATTTCCATTTTATAAAATAAGTAACACTGGTTTAGTGCTATATATAAATATATTGTGAATGTATGTATCATATCATTTATTGTACCCATTAACACAATGCTATTTGCTTCTATATCATGATGACCAGTTTGATGTGTGGTAGGTAGAAAATTATAGGAGTCCTGATACTTTTAAATAGAGGATTTTTTTTCTCCTCTTATTTTAATTTGTAATAGAAACTGTATATTATTGATATGCTTTGTATTAGTTGTATTCATTCACACTGTGACACTTCAGACAGGGTAAATATGGACCCAAGGGTTTCAGGAACTGTACTCTGAACAATTCTAGTCATTTGGTTCTTAACTAGTACATTAGAAATCTACTATTTGTGTAGGTAAGCAAGTGGATGATGGACATGTAGAACATTGGACAGTGTTGCATTTATAGTCTTTAAAAGTGTTTCAAACAGAAGTGATTGTATGTAATGTTTTAACAACATTCAATTGTTTTGTGTAGTGTAAAGTGATACAGTATTCATTGGAAAAATAAGAGCTTTTAGATTAAAATCCAAAACCCTGGTCAGTCTTCTGTTGTAATTTTTATTATTTGAAGTATGTGATTGCTACAGGACGTAAACAATAAGGATAAAGTACAAAAGTGGAAGTTCTTTGATGTACTCTGGTGTTTATAAAAAGTGAAACTTTGGTGATTCTTATTCATAATAAAAGTAATCCTAAGCTAAGTGAAAAATATATTGTATATGATATAAAAATATCTGACTCAAGTGTAATGTCCAGAAGATGTCTGTGTCATGTGTATAAGACATTATTTCTATGGTATTTCATATTTGTAGACTTTGTACATACATTGTATATACTTAAATACATAACTCTGTACATTTGATTAAAAAAAAAAGTCATAAAAATAAATCACTAAAAACTTGTCCTGAAACAGTTTGGTGATTCTGTTTGTTATATGGAGTATCAAAGAACTTGAAAGACAGCTGTATGTACACTGCATACACATATTTAAAAAAAAAAGTGTGTTCAGATATTATAAAAAAAAAAATTGACTCAGTCATGTAAATACATGGGAAGAACTTGGTTATGTGTTTAAAACGATTTAATTTATATGTACATAAAGTCACAAAGCTTTTTTCACAATGCATGTGAAGAGATTGTCAATATTCCTTGTTTTTTGCCAAATTTTATGAATCCAGTATATTTCTAGAATTAACACAATGTGAGACTTTGTAATTATTTTATGCATTAAATCTATGTACTGAGAGAAAAGAAATAAAGGTTATTACTGAAATTATGTTTGGAGTTTTTCAGTGGTCATAAGTGATTGCTAATTAGATATATTGACTGTTTTTACAGATTAAAGTTTTGAGCTATCACCCTTTTTTTTAAGAGATAAATATATAATCAACAACTGTTGTTTTGTATATTCGATTTTCTGGACCACATTTTCACTAACTGTTGCTAAGATATCATCCTACATGTGGTGAATCAAAATACTGATCAGAGCGACATCTTTTTAATGCTAGAAGGTCAAAATATCTTAAGGATACTTGTTCTGTATTAAAAACTGTTGAAATTATTCCAGTAGATATTACAATATTGTTGTGATGGTTTTTATCATTGAATGGATTATTTCCGATTATTCTGGAAGATAAAGCCACAAAGCTCGGTGTACTGAATGAAATAAAAAGCATTATATTTCTTCTACCACAAGCTCGTGGAGAATAGGCCTAACGCACAAATAAAACTAAGTAGTTACTCATTAAATATCCTCTCTTCAAACTGGTTAATACGGTAATATGTGAACAATATTCATTGACTGACTTTCTAACTCCGGTGTTATGTTATTACAATATTGTTTCCCCTTAGTCACAAGAGAATTTGAGAGGCCACGTCAAATCTGTAAACACTCCGGAAATTTCTAAGTATCACTCAACATAATTATGTCATGGCAAAACTCCCTTTAGCAAACAATGTATTAAAATATAAACATCCAAGTTGCAATATTAAAACATACTTCAAACAAATATGTATGAAGTTTTCGTAGAAAAAGAGAACTTAGACTTTCGTACTCCCTTAGCTTATTAAACAAATGAAACTACCTTGTGACCAAGTATTACTTACACACACATTCCTTTTCCAGTTAGCCAAACCAGTGAGCGTTTTTGAATTAGCATATCAGTATATTTCTTACAACTGTTTACGAATTATTGAAACAAATTTTATTATTTAACAACTAAGACCGAATTTTTAAACTAAATATATTAGGAAAAATATGTAAATTAGAATGCTAATATTAACATGCATGTGTAATCATTGTCATACATGGTAAAAAAGTTTCACTATATTAAATCGAAAGCTGTGTACAAGTTCAATTTAGCAGAAATAAAAAATATTAAGATAACTTGTATTGCTTACGAGTATTTTTTAATTTGTTGTTGTGGTTGTTACTTAGCATCTTAAGTGTAACCTCGGCATTTTTTGTTAGTAGTTGATATACATAATTCTAGTCTATTTTGTTTCATCACAAATGATAAAAACAGTTGTAAAAAACTAAACGTGGCAGGAATTTAGTTTGAAGAACAATTTCTGGATCTTCCCAACTGGAGTGTTCGGGAACAATCGTTCTCCTTCAACCTCGCGATTGAGAGCGTTTTGAATCGTGTTTATTTTTAAGTTTGATTGCGTGGATTACATTTCCTATAATTGTTTTGACGGAAAGCTGTGAAGGAGGTCTGAGATTGCGAGGATCTTTTCCCTTGAGTTGACTGTAGTCCAGTTGATGAAGTGTAGAGGCTGAGGCGGCGACTAAGTCCAACATGTATTACTTGTTAATTCACTATGCTTTAGCTATATGTTTGTGTTTAAATTGTTTTTGTAACAAAACCATTGTGAGGTGGGGAGCCCTTTCCAGGGGGAGCTAGCTGGTTCGGTTGAGTCCAATGCCCGGATGAATTTAGATTTGGGGGGAACCGGAATACTCGGAAAAAACCCACTTTCACAGGACAGACGCCGGATAATCTATCTGACTTGTGCTCTGGCTGTGAAAGGAAACGTGATAATTAGAAACAACGTGACATAATATAATATTCAAACCTCAACAAGTGTGGGTGCTTGGATACTCTTTATTCTTCTGTTTGTACAAGAGGTTGTATGATGATGTGTGTTTGAGGGGAGCAGTTGTAACTGTGTGTAGTGCAGCTGTGAGTTTGTTTCTTTTTTTCCGGCTTATTGTAATTCTTGTAAGCAAGGTCAGTGAGTAGGGATGTTACTAAATTTATATAAATAATTTGTGAGAGTGAATTTTGGAAGCCTTAGGACCAATCTAATTGCTTTGTTTTGTTACAGTCTTAGTTTTTTAGGTTATTTTCGGACATGTATGTTAGCTGACAGCCGTATTCTATGAATGGGCGAATAATTGTTGTATATGTTTTAGAGATATTTCTGGTGTGCAGCTTGTGTGTTTACCGGCGACGAGTCTGATAATTGAGGCATGTACGTTTTGGATACGTTTGTTCCATGTTAGACGGGTGTCAAAGGTGATGCCGATAAATTTAATATTATTTTTGTTTCTCGTAACTTTAATTTTCTTCAGAATTTTCATGTGTTTTGATAATGTTTTTTGAAAAAAAAGCGATTGCTCCTGTTTTTGTTGGGTTTAGTATAACTCGCCGTTTGTTACACCATTCTAGAATTAAATTCAATGAATTTTGAACTCTTGCAGTTGCAATTACTGGCTGTCTAGATATGCTCCAGGCAGCTATGTCGTCGGCATATTGAGAATGATATGTTAGAATGGGATGTCATTTACAAAAAATTATGTATAAGAGTGGCGAAAGAACTGATCCTCCTGGCACTCCTGCGGTAATATTAAATGTTTTAGATAATGTGTAACATGTTTACTTTAACTTGGGCTTTTCTATGGGCCAGGAAGTTTGATATCCATCTGATTATGGATTAATTTGATATACAATAATTTTATTTTATATTTGATGGCATTGTGCCAAACCACTATCAAAGGCTTTTTTAACGTTTAAGAATACTCCCATGATAACTTGATCATTATTAAATGATTTATAGACAGATTCTGTTAATCTGATGAGGTGGTCTATTGTTTGTATGTTCTTTTCTTGATGCATTATGGAAGTTTGTTAGTAAATTGTTTGTTTCACAGAAATCTGTTAGATATTATTCTTTCCATTAGTTACAACTTAACAAACTGATGGGGCGGAAGTTATCTGGATTAGATCTGTTGTTTTGTTTTGGGGTAATACGGTGATTATTGCTTTTTTCCATGTGTACAGGTAGTAGCCAGTTAAATTATGTTCGTGAGGTGAATCAAAAGTAGGTCTCAAGCTTTTCTCAGAACAATATTTCTTATCCCGTCGTGACCGGGAGTCGAATTTTTAAGTATTTTTATGTTTCTTTTTAATTCTTCGAGCGTGACTTTCCTGTTTATTAGGTCATGTTGGATTCGTGTTGACGTAGTTATTTACCTCACTGTGATTATGGGATTGATGTCCGGAAAAAATGGGTTACTAAAGGATGTTTCGTAATAATCGGCCAATAAATTTACTTTTTCTGAATCTGTTCTAGCTATATTGTTATGTTTTATCCGGAGGAACAGAGAATTGTTATATTTGTTAGCTGATAGTGATTTAACTTTTTTTCCAGAATTCTTTGGGTGTACCTCGAGAGTTTTCTAGATTATTGCAGAATTCTTTTCTTTTAATGTTTTGTTTTATTTGTGTGTGTAGTCTGTTGATCTGAGTTTTAGGATCATGTGAAATACAGTGTTGTCTCCCGGGACGTCTTCGTTCTATAATTAGCACGTGAATCTCGGGGCTAGTGTCCAGTGATTAATTATTAAACTAATCTCTTGAAGCTGAGGGGTGGTGTCGGCTGTGGCTTTGCTAAGAGCCTTAATTACGTTTTCTAGGGACGTGTCGAGTACTTGTTTGTTGTTTATACATGTGATTATTGGTGGTAGGTGAGATTCGTTAAATGACTGTCGATCGGTTCTTGTGTAGTTGTAGACTGGTGGGAGGGGGGGGGGGTCGCGCTGTGTGAAACGTGCACGATATTGGAAAGTGTTTGCTTGAAAGTTCTTGATGGACCGTGAAATTTGCTATTTTTTTAATAAGGTGGACGAGACTAGTATTAGTTTTACTACGTCAAACGTATTTGTAGGCGAGTTGAAGTGATTTGTTGTAGTATCATTAATGATCTGCTTGTTATTTCCATGTAGTAAATCTAGTATTGTTTCTCCTCATGACTTTCTATTGCCGTTTAGATCTCTATGTGGGGCATTTAAATCGCCTATAATTAGGGGTTGTGAGCTTCTAAACATGCGTTGTTGTAGATAATTAGTGTCAATGTTTTTAGATATGAACAGTAGACAGCAAGGATGGGAATGGTTGTTCTGTTATTTAATAAAAAAAAAAATGGTTTCGTTTGTATCAGATTTAAACTTTTCTTCTATTGATATTATGTTGGCTATGTCATTTTTTAAATATAAAACCATTCCTCTATTGGTCTTTGTATATGGTAGGGTGTAATATTTGAATCCTGGAATGTTAACGTTTTTGTTTTCCTTGCTTAGTGTTTCTGATACTATTAAGATGTCAGCTTTGACTTGTTTATTTCAACTTTGTTGGTGAGTAAATTACCCTGATAATTGAGATGTAATATTTTTATTGTGTCCGTGAATTTTGTGTTTGTTGTTCTCGTTGTTGAATTCTAAGTGTTAAGGGGTGTGGCTTGAGGTTTGGAATAGGAAAGTGGCGTCTAGCTGTTGAACAAATGTTTTCTACAAGTTCTGCCTGTGTTGGAAAAGCCGGTAATTCGGACAGCTCTACAAGCATTGCAAGAAGGTTTATTGTGAAATCAGTGTGGCCTGGATGTTGTGTTGTCGGCTGGTAATGTTTGTGTAAGTGGCTGTGTTGATGTTTGTTGAAGCTGTAGGCTGAGCTAGTGTAGTTGGGTTGGGGTATTGTTTTAGTGTTGGGAGAAGTGGCTGGCGTTTTCTAGCAGCGATTGTGGGCT